ATTTTTAAGGCCTTGCATAGAGAGAATTCCCCCAAAGAACACAGCTGGGATAGTCCTTCGTGGACTGAATGTGTCAATTATGAATTGAACTAAAATGAAATTTTACTGCAGTATGGCAAAGAGAACAGAGGAGTGGACCCTGCAGCTAGCATATTATGTAGTAGTTCATACACCAAGTACTATTATTTTATTAACTTTAAGAACATGTTTTACATAAAAACAGGCAACATCAAAAAAGCTCAGTTGATAAATGAACATAATATATCACAGATGATTTCATTCCACATTAACCTACATTTATTATCTTAAGCTGAAGGATTAGGGCAAAAATTGGATCTCATTCCACCTTGAATCATGGATACAAATTGTTTGAAAGTTATTTCATTAGGATTCTAAAAATCAGAGATTAACCTGTGCCATCTGATCCATGCAGAAAGTGATAAATTCAGTATTTTCAAAGGAAACATTGAAATATTTTTTTTCTCACGCCAAATTGAAACCTTTCAGAAACTTGTTTAAATGTAGCAAGTTCCTAGCTCACCTTTTTAGTATGCATGAGCAAAATACTATTTAATTTCACACTCAACTAATCCTTTAATAATTTTCTTTCAGCCAGAATGAAAAAGGCTGTTATTAATTTCCTAATAAAATTTTTTTAAAGTTATCGAGGATGACTATAACCTTGGACCAGTTTCAATTTCTTTTTATTTTTTTCTGAGAATACACCAAAGATTAATGTCAATGGCAAGTGAGAAATTGTCCCTAGAGAACTATTCAAGGACTTTTTCTTACCACATTCGATTGGACTGGAATGAATTGACATCATAGCATCTTTATCATCATTTTAAAAATTCTACTTTCTTTTAGTAGTAACAGTGAAGGCTTTAGAACTATTACTCTAAATTAAGAAAGTATATCACAGACAAAAATATACAATTTTACATTAAAGCAACATTAAGGGTCTCGATTTAGTTAGCCACAGATGAATATTAAGGAAATTTACCAGTATGGTTTAATTTTACAAATTGCTCTTTCTTTAGGGGGAAGAAAAATGAAACGAGCTCTCATTTGTCTTCATGGGCAAGATATTGCAAACCTGATGATCAAAACACCTGCCAGTTAGAAGCTTGCTCACTGAAAAATGATCACTGCAGCCTCAGTGTTGAAGCCCAACAAAAACCAAACAAATAATAATAAAAAAAAAACTACTTCACCCAGAGGCATTCTAAGTCTCTACATTGAATTTCCTGTTTCCCACCAGTTTACGACCCTTAATGTTACTGGATGGATGGTTGCATATTTGAGATGATTAAAAAATAAAAGACTGGCTTAAAAGCACCTCCTCCTCAAGTATGTAATTACATACAAACTAAAGATTCCTTCTGACAGTCCTAGGGACCCCATTTGTCACTGTTTCTTGTATAAGCACCATTGAGCCAATTTTTAAAGCACATTTGCAGTTATCAAATGTTTAGTGCGTCCTCAAGTTTCGATGATTTATTTGCCTTTATGCAAAAAAAGTGTAGCGTGTGTTATTTTATGCTCTTATCATATCTGAATGGACAAAATTGTTAATTTGGAAGTGCTTTTAATCGCTATTTTCCCCAACAGACTAGAATGGCTTCATAACATTTGACAACTAAATAAGGAAATCTATATCTCTGAAAGAAGCACATATCTGACCCTCTAAACTGCATGCAAGGTAAGGGTCTGGTTTGAGAGTATTTTTCCCAAATTCTTAATGGAAATGGCAGACAACATGTGGGGAAGACTGACTTTTGAACTGACCAACTTGAAGTTTTTAAAAAAAAATCTTTGGAACTAAAAAAAAAAAAAAAAATCATGTAGCAGTTTAAAACAGTAATGACTTCCAAATTATAGAAAAGGCATGTTATCAACAATCTATGCCAGGTGACTCATTAAATTAAAAAAAAAAAAAAGCCACCCACATCCCCCCAGTGAATAATTACGTAAAAACTAACATCTCGGATCTTGGTGCTTTCCAAAATTCTGAAATCACAATTAAGGAAGGACCATACCAGATTTTTTGGTTGTTCTTTTCTTGGGAGAGTTGGGGAGAAGTTGGCAAAGAAGGAAGTGAACCTTCATTCCTTGGTGCAGGCCCTGTATAGCAAACTTCAGCCTGGGGCACATTTTTAGGGTCAAATTAAAAACCTTTGAGAATAGGAGTTTATCATGGAAATGCTGACAGATCCTTACCCAGAGAAGGGCTAGGGGCAACACAGTAATATTAAGAAAGCTCTCCCTCGGCACAATCAAACTTCAGCACGAGGGATAGAGTTGTCTAATGGACGCCGATGGCCAGCAAACAACCGTGATTTAATGTGCTTGAGACTTGGTCATACGGTAGCTCCGTGACCCTCTAAGCCAATTTTTCTTTTCTTTTGTTTTCGACTGAAATATGCCTCAAAGGGTAAAGGATTGCAATTTTAGCCTTCGTTCATGGATACATTGCTTTCTTTCAACAATATCTGACGGGTCTGTTAACCACTACCCATGGGGGTGCTGAGCAAGTTACAGGAAGGTCTCATTGAATACAAAACACCAAGTGTTTTCAGTAGTTTATTCACATTTTTTTTCTCTGCTTATTTTAATATGCACCACGTGTAAGTTAGATGAGGGCTACGGTAAAAACATTTTCGATGACTGAAATCTTAACTTTTCCTTCTAACGATGTGGAGCAAATTCACATATTCATTGATCATGACGAATAAAATGATTTCTGCTACAATGTCAAGAAAAAGTGTGCTCATTAATATGAACGCATATCTACAAAGATGATTTACACGATGCAAGTCATGAAGGAGTTCTTCCTTAACTAGTCTACTATCAAACTGAAAAGATGAAATCTTAAAATTCCCCTTGAAAATACCATATGGTTGGTCAGGTGTCAGTAAAGGAAAGACAGTCCCCATCACCAAGCTACCACCATAAGAGCTATATTAAATACTTGGGGGGGGAAATATGGAAACATTTGTGGTGATGATTAAATCGATAATTACAGAGATGCACTGCCATAATGGTACATATTTGCTCTATGATAAGCGAAATCAAAAATAAGATCAATTTGGTTATAGAAATTCCTTAAAGAACACCACCACTTAATTATTTCAAACTTGAACTATCCCAAGAATGTCGAGAAAAAAATTAGAAAGCACTGACTGTCTAAAAGCAAAGCAATCTGGATGCACCAACGTAATCAGCATGCCTTGTGCTTGTCTGTTAACCCTCTGAGTACATCTCTGACATTCAGGATCTTGGTAGCTTAATGTTGGTGAGATTGCATTCCATCTGATTACTCAATATTTCTACTTGACTGGTCACGTTCCACTGTTTATTCAGCATAGATCACTCAAATTCTGCAGTGGTGCACTGGGATCCCCACGCTGAATGGGCCCTGCATTCTTCCGAGCTGCCCCTCTGCGGTGTGTTGAGAAACACTCTACAGCTTCACACGGTCCAGGGCCTGCTACGTGTCGATGGGGAAAGGTCTGAGCCTTGCACTGTAGGTTCAGCACACTTGCGCTGCAGCGATACATGGAATGCTCGCAGAAAAAGCAATAATTCAGAAAAAGAAAGGAAAATGACAATCTACTGCAGGTAGGTCTCTGCCCATAGGATTTTTCACACATTTAGAATTAAGGCCAAGCTATATAGCCACTCCTTAGCCCTGGAATAGTACCTTGCTTTATAGTTCTACAGAAAGCAGCGATTTCTGACTAGTTCAGTGTCCCTTACTATTAATAACATGGAATCGACCTTCACACCAAAGCCTTTCCTGGTGTTCTGTGCTCCCACCCCCAAAAACAACTCAACCAAATTAGTGATTTATGCTACTTTGTGATTTTGTGTGTAATCATTTCTGGACACTTTAAAAGTGGGGAGGGATCTCTCAATCGATGGTATACTATTTACATGTTGGGACAACACAGACCACAGAGATAAACCTAAATGTGGAAGAGCAAAAATTTGGGAGACTGTGTTGAAAAGGTAATGACAAGTTATGATTTAAAAATCTATATTGATGTAGACCATAGTTTAAGGGTTGAAGAGTAAAAAAGCAGCAATTGAAGATCAATGTGCATTTGAAAATAAAGAACTGACTATAGAAAGACCATTCAGAAATTTCAAGACTCTCAGATATTAAAGTATATTCAAAACAGAGAAAAGAAGTGCTGTTCAGCCATCCAGATGCAAATTTCATGAGATCATCACTCCCTGGTTGTCTCTTGGATCACAGAGCTGAGCACATCATAGGAGCATATTTGAGATGGGCACCTGCCTCCAAGACACCCTGGGATAGTCCTTTCTGAGCACTGCAGTAACTTACAGAATCTCTGGGCCCTCGTTCTGAAATCCAATACGTTCCAGAAGAAACTCAGGCCTGGAGACAGAGGGCTAGGGAAATAGATTTGGTAACAGGGGTGAAAATACAGATCTCAGACAGGACTTGGCTCAAAGACAGAAAGACAGTATGTCCTCCTGGATAGCTAAAGACAGTGGTATAAAAAATCAGGGTGCGTAGTCATGGGTGAGCAGGTAGGCTGAGCACGGTGGGCTCATGCCTATAACCCTAGCACTTGGGGAGGCAGAAGTGGGAAGATCTCTTGAGACCAGAAGTTTGAGACCAGCTTGGGCAACAGAGTGAGACCCCATCTCTACAAAAAAAAAAAATTGAAAAATTTTTCAGGCATGGTGGTGCATGCCTGTAGTCCTAGCTACTTGGGAGGCTGAAACAGGAGGATTGCTTGAGCCCAGGAGTTTGAGGTTGCAGGGAGCTATAATGATGCCCCTGCACTCCAGCCTGGGCAACAGAGCAATACCCTGTCCCCCCCCCCAAAAAAAAAATCATCTTAGAGAATGGAAGTTTTATCCTCAGGGGTATTGTGTAGGTCTTGCATCCTGCTCTTCCGGGGAGACTATGTAGGTAACCTAAAGGTGCACCAGTTCTTATCCATTTTTAGAACATTCTGGATTGTGTTCCCACTGTGCTTTCTCCTGGGCCACCATGCAAAGGACTTGACTCTAGCTCCTTTGGGCCCCAGTTCTCCTGCATGGATTTCATACTATATGTGGAGTGCACACTGATGACCATGGTGCATGAAGAAGCAGGTGACAAAAAGCACAGGATCTTGTTTCCTCTTTCTGTTTGAAATTCCAGCCCTCTAGAGCACCTGGAAATTTATTGCTCTTTTCCACCAGTTGTTTCTTTCCTGTAGATGTCTGACACTGAGCAGACAGACCCTCACTCACCAAGCACAAGACAAGCCCTGGTGATTCCCTGAGGGTCTGCGCTGGCGCTAGCAGCAGCTGATGTGGAAGCAGCATTTCTGGGGCATGATCAGTACATCCTCATATGGAGACATCTGGGGTGGGGGGGCCTCATCTCTTTCCTGTTTACCACAAACCCAATTCCCTCCACTTGGGACGCAGGACTCACTGCAGCTGACACAGTCGTATCTCTAATGAGAAAAGTTCCCTTTCTTAATAGGATTGTGAAGAAGAAAGAGGGGTGTGTATGCCAAAGTTAGAAATCTGCCATGTTCTAAACCCACAGAAAAGGACAAGCAAGAGAGCATTCTAGATGTCCTTCTTGCCTGGACATTTCAGAGTCTCACAACAGACCTTGATCTGCAGCAAAATCAAGAAACGTGTGTGCGTATACATCCAAAGGCCCGAAAAATTCCCTAACAAGGGTTCGCGATACAGTTCCATGCACTCAGAGGGTTAACATGTGCTATGTTACCTACTGCAGGCCCTAGCTTGATTGACGAAAACATTCATTGCTTCTATGTTTAAAAAAAAATTGCAAATTAGCCTTAACCCTTTGAGGACCCTGTTAGCAGCAAATTACCATCTTCACAAACACCACGTGTCATCATCTCATTCGGTAGAGGGAAAACGCTACAAAGATACCTGAAAACACACTTTCTGTTCTGCCATTCAAGCATCGAGTGCTAGATAGATCAGATGAAACTGTTTTTACATAAATTTGGGGGGAAAAAATCTCAGAGTCTCAAAGGGTTAAGCCAGGACTTTGAGTGAAAGGGTCTTGTTAAAAGGGCGAGTTGGGGGAGCGAACAGTCTCGGAGGAGCTGGGGGAGTAGTCCTCCGACTCCGAGTTGAGTTCCGGCGGAGCTGGCTGCGCCTTGTACCGGCTCCTCACATCCGGGTTGCGTCTTCGTCGGAAAACCTGCCTCTCCTTATCAAGAGCGGTGGTCTAGCAGGGGCATAAAATGAGAAAGAGGACAATTAGGCCGAGGGAAATGGCAAAACAAACTCTAGAACTTTCTGAGGTTGGGAAAAATCCGCTGGCCAAGTTCACTTGTCCATCATAGCTCACTTTTGTTGACAACAGTCACCCCTCTTGGGGAGCTCTCGGCTCCCCCTAAGTCCAGCTCTTTGGGGGACCTGGTCATGACATCAGCAGGCACAGGCAGGATGGATGATGTCTTGGGCTAGGCCTCTCCCCAGCCCTGCCCAGACTCCTGCTGACTCCACGGCTATCTGCCCTTGGTGGCTCCTAGGCTGGCCAGAGAACCCCCCAGGTGCACAGGAGCCTCGGTCCTGTGTTTGTGACACGTAGGAACACCCACGGGCCACCTGGATTAACCCTGCAGCTCAGAAAATCCTCTAATAAAGATGAAAGGTGATGAGATTGCCAGACCTGCAAACAGAGCCACAAGCTCATCCTGTTCTTGTGGTACCTCCTCACTCCAAATGATCTTAATATTCCTCGATGAAGGAGTGTGGCTGAATCTCTGGGAAGGATTGGTTTAATTTTAATGAAACCAATGTCTGCAATTGAACACTGCTTTGAATGCAATGAAACCAAATGGAAACCTTCCCACAATTTCACTTTACAAAGTTCACTGTCATTGTAGTATGTGGTAGTTTATGAAATCGAGATTCAACTCTGTGGCTATTCCAATTCCCGGTCTCTATGCTTCGTTTTCTCGAGGAAACCTCAGATGACCTCCTGGTTGTGTGATCTGCCTGTAGCTCTGGAAGTTATTACGACATCAGAATGGGGGCAGCATGACTTCATCATAGATTTAATGGGTGTGGGAGGTTACTGGGTCGTTACAGGGAAACCTTACACAGAAAGCAGAAGAGCAGGGACAAAGTCTGAAGAAAAATATAGAACACATATAAAAGTTGAAGGCATTCTTGTTTGAAAAATCCCTCTTTAAAAGGATGTAGCCTGAAGGTTTTCTGCTTTTAAGAGATTACTTTTCCTCTATAGGGATATATGCCACCATTTTCCCTCTTGAAAATTTACTGTTAGCTTCTTCAAAGAACAGAGATAAATTTATAGCAAGCCTGGTTCTGAGAACAAAGTGAAAACTAAGCCCCTCATACAACTGCGGTATAGCATTAGAGCGATCTTAGATCTAAAATAGGCAATCAAAGTTCCAAAATGAAGTAATAAAGAGAGAAAGAGAGGCAGTGTGTCGAATCAGTGCAGTAAATGGCTTCGTTAGGCTGAACTGCTCTACTTTAACAACTCTCCACACACTGAGGTAACAGTGTTACAAACAATAAGGAAGATAAGCTTTAATAATTCACTTCTGGTTTTACTAGATTGTTAATACAGTGATTCAATAACTGCATTGTTAAAATGTCTACCTTTGATTCTTCTACTTGTTGAATTTTTAAGGACCCTTATATAGTTCTTGGTTTTATACCCATTGATTTTACGATATTTTCGGCATCATAAACCCAAATTCCTAACTGTATTTAAAACATTGTAAAGTTACAACACATGGTAGTTTGCTTTCAAAGCAAACTGAAAATGTTCTGTTTGTGTAGAGTTGAATGTTTGTAAAAAAACAGACGTCTATTTAGTCTGCCTTACATAAAAAACATTCTGTAGTTAATCCAAGAGTAATATAAACTCTTGCCTTGGCCATAAAAAAAAAATCTTTCTATTTCTACCTTCTTGAGAAAGAAAAAGAATCTTTGGCATCGGACTGAATCCTGACTCGTGAACAGAGGCAGTCAGATGTGGGGAAGGAAAGCGCATTGGGCTGTGGTCAGGAATTTTGTTTCCTGCCTTGACCATGGCCAGCACATGGCTGTGTGAATCATTTACTCAGGTCTCGAGGGGAGCAGGAATAATTCCTTCCCACCCTTACAGAGCTGCTAGGGGAAAAATGGACGTGCAAATGCTTTTTAAACAACCAAGTTTCCCAGAAATGTAAGGTGTTCTTCTTTTCTTTACAATTTGATGTAAGATATTGTTGCAAAATCGAGTAACTGCAGTTCAGAGGAAACCAATGCAATCGAAGCCCAAATTAGAACTTTACTCAGAGGACTTTCCCTCCCTCATTTTCATTGGCACCTTCTTGATATTTATCTCATCTCCCCATAATCTATTCAATTACTCCAAGTCACACCCTTGGCTGCAGCCACTCAAATATGCCATTTCTCCACAAATATCATCATCCAGTGTATGCAGAAGCCAGTGGCACTTAATATTGAGCTCATGCTTGGATAGTCCCAATATCCTTATTTTCACCTTCATTTCTGAAAATCCTTCCAAGGACAATCATATCCTCTTCCTTACTTGTCCCTCTGCCTGGAGAGCTCTTGCCCTGCCCCTGTTTAGGCCGTCAGTTCTGCCACTCTTGGCTATTTCCCTAGTTAGTAACTTTCTGAGTGTTCACCTTTGTAGATGAGAACTCATGCCCAAATGCTCCTGAGTTCCCAGGTGCATGGTTGCCTGGTATCTTCAAGGCACTTATTCTTGGAAACATATCATGGTCATGAGCACATGTCATGGAATAAGGGTTTGGTGGTCCTCTCTATTGGATTTAGGGACACTAGAGTTGAAAGAGGATTTAAAAGCATTTTTGTCCAATGCTCTGCCTTTACAGGCAAAGAAACTGAGGCCCAGACATGTGGAAAGACTCGACACACTGCATCACTAACTAGAAACACAACTCAGTTCTTCTCCTGCACGATTTACTCTGAAATCTATTGAAGCACGATGAATTGGAGTCACTGCATTCCAGCAGCTCACCCCTTCTCCATTCCCACCGACGTGAGCTGGGGAGAAGATGCTGACCACAGGTGGCATCAAAAGCCAACAGGCATTGATGATTAGAGAGACTTTTCTTAGGAACAGCAAGCAGGGACCCCTGTGTGTATGAACCCATTCTGATTTTGGGGGCTTGTAAACTTCTAGGAAGATCTGGGTCTGATGACAGAGATGCAGTTTCCTATCCACACAGATCCTTGTAATATTCTCCAAGGATGCAACTAAGTCAGTTGAGGGCTCACAACTGACTTGTTCTCAGAGATATTCTGGGGCGTCACTGTCCACAGGTTTCTCCTCCCTGGGCCCCTGCTCACTCTGCTTCCAGAAGTTATCTTAGGAACTTCTTCCTTCTCTGTTCCCATCACAATCTAGCACTGCTATCACTGCACATCCTGCCTACACCATAAGTGACTCTAATTAACTGCTTTTCCTGCCACATCGTAGACTCTTTGGAGGACCAAGATCAAGTCTTGGACATCTTCTCCGTGTTTTCCACAGTACACTGCACACCATAGCTACTCTACAGACTGTGGCTTTTGAAATACGTGAAAGTACAACAGAGGTTGTCTGCTTCTCTCTGGAGCACCCAAGCCCCACTCCATCCTGCACACAGCTGAGAGGTCAATTTCCACAAGGTCCAATTGATTTATAACTCCTCATCGAGTCCAACTCCCTGCCCTATCTTTGCCATGTGCTTACAATGAAAACTTATGGTGTCTATTTCCTGTTATGACTCAAAATGATCCCATGACATCAGTAGACTCATTATCTCTTTCTATCGGACATTTGATTTTCTAGCACGGCATCATTTACTTTGCCTACGGTTAAACAAAGCTTAATTTCCCTTGGACACCTCCCCGATCCTATACTCTGTGATTCCAGTGAGGGTGACCCTATCCCCTGGCCTGGGAGTGGGGCATGGGTGAGCTTGTGACTCAGAAGTGCACCTGAGCTCATTGCGTTCCCTTCTAGCCACAACTGGTTCAGCATAGGTGCACCCCGCCCTGTCAATAGGACACTCTGACACTTTCTCTGGGACTTCACATTTACAGTGAATCCCAATTTTGATGGAGCTGCTTCCCACATCTTGGTGCCACTGGAAGCCCAAGACTAAAGCCAACACAAGGAGGCAGGATTGAGGATGGAAAGAAACCAGGCTTTGACTGAGTGCTGAAACCACCCATCACTGAAGCCAGACCCAACCTGTGGACCTTTCAGGTTATGTGAAAGAATAAATTTCCTTTTTGCTTGAGTCAATTTGGTTTGGGTTTTCTTCACTTGCCATAAAAACAGTCCCAACTGATCTATCTCCGAATGTACTTTAATCATTCTCACCTCTACATATTGGCTCAAGGTGTTCACCAAATTGAAATGACCTCTCCTCTCTGCCTACTCAAATTTATTTATTCTCCAAGACTGGATCAAATTTTACCTCCTGTATCACACTTTTTCTTTCTAAACTCCTCAGGCAAGAATTGTCTTGACCAAACTTTTGACACTATATTGATAATTGACCTCCTATTGTCTCTTCTTTGCGTATTTCCTAAATACCATGTAAACTCCTCTAGGGTAGAATTTGAAACTTCTTTGCATTTTCCAGAATGCCTAGCAGACTGTGGCACACATATTAGGCATGTATTAAATATTTCTTAATTGATACAGAATTATTTTAGGAGATTATATATTTTCTGAATAACAACAAAAAATAGAACCCAAAGCAACTCTATAACACAAAAGAGTAAGAAGTTGAAAGTATTGAGTCAATATTTAAGAATACAATTTATGTTTCAAATATTTATGTCAGATAAAGTTAATATTCTCTTATGCTTATGCATTTACCAATTCAACAGACATTTATTGTGGTCCAAGTTCTTATCACAGTAAGCCCTGTCATATATAATATCTTTATAATTTTAATTGTGGCTATGAAATTAACTTGACTCTAAAATATGTGCGGTTCATCTTTTATAACTGAATTCTGTAGCTCCCATATGCATTTCAGGACAGATAATTCAGCCAATAAATAGAATATACGCTATGATAGGATTTTGATAAGGTAAAAAATATGTAATCCAACTGATAATCCACCCCCCCCCCAAAAAAAGAAAGGTATTTGAAAGGTAATTTATTCTCTTAAGTCTTGCATCACGAATTTAAATTCTGGATCCTTTCAACTT